GCGTCTAACAAGAGAATCTGTATTTTTAGGCTGTAGGACTAAAATATTTCTGACAAAACTTTCTTCTATGAGTTGGAATTTCTACGTAAACGAATTTCATAAAGATCACTGAACTTTATAAAATTCCTTGCGTAGGAGGTACCTATCTTTATTTAACCTTATTACGGATACTATTAGCACATTTCTCAATTGTGTTCCTTCGTTTCAGCAGATGACATCAACTAAAGCTGAGTTGCACCACCTAACTCTAACGGTAACTATAACCGGTGCTTTTTGGAGTTTGACAGATCTTTGACGTTTGTTAAAGCTAAAGTAAGATGGTGCAACCTTGCCTTAAAAACTGTCTCTCAAGGATTTCCACGACTACCGGTCCTCGCTGGCCGCATCCAGATGCCTCCCGCTTCCTTTTCAAAAGCGATGCAGCGTTCTATACTCCGAGTCCCTACGTGATCGAATCAGAAATGAGGAGATTCAGGAGAGACAAGAAAACTAAAGTAACTGACATATCCCACAGAGTTGCCAAACTTATCTAACTGTGTTTGTTGCTGTACATAATTAGATCATTTAATCTCTACATAATGTTTTTGCGACTGACTTACTTGACATATGGTCCTATGTCCCCTAGATGGGGCAGAGGGCGTCCACAACAGTCCTCCATCGCGTTCGGTCTTGAGCTAAGTGTTTGATCTCGCTCCAAGTCTTGCCGATCTTCTTCGCCTCGTCTGCCACAGTGCGCCGCCAAGTTTGCTTGGGGCGACCACGTTTGCGTTTTCCTTGGGGGTTCCAATCCAGAGCCTGCTTGGGGATGTGATCGGGATCCCTTCGGAGAGTGTGAAAACAGAATCCCATCACTAGGGAGGATACCCGGAAAACCCCGCGAGTCCAGAAGCTCTGAGGTGACAGCCCCACCACCGGACTAGGGTACAGCAGGTTAATCACCCACTTGCCCGAAAATACTCGATTAACGAAACGTTTTTGCGACTGCGCCTAAAAAATCTTTAGAAGTGAATACCGCAGTAACTGTAGCTTTGCTGGTAGATTAAAAATTTGGCCTACAAAAGTGTTTCAAACACCACAAGCCATTATCTCAGAGATACTATCGAAGAACACTTACTTTTTGTCTGATGTTTTACAAGCTTAGCGCTGGATTTGCAAGCCCAAACTTCAATAGATCCACTTAAATTTTAATACTTTTTGCTCTACTTCTACTATTAGCTTAGTCCAATTTCGCTGACAGAAAAATTTCTTCATCTGGTATTTTATTCAATTAAGGTTTGGTTTCATAATGGTTGGTATTTTTTGAAAGATTAAAAGTAATTTCAAATAGGCTGAAGACACTTCAAATAGGCTGAAATAGATTAGGAGTATGTTCACGACATTTCTTCAGTGATCAACAAAATCGAACTGGTGACTCGAATCAGCAGTTTGGACTGACACTGAAACCATTAGCGCTCCTGCACACGATGCCGCCGCCGCGCCTTCACGCGGCGCGTATAAACAGTGCAAAGGCTTAGGCTACTGACACCCTATTTTAATAGATTTGGTCACTTTAGGTATAGTTGTTGCAATTCAGAAAGGCGAGTGAGCTTAACATGTGTGGTGGCTTGCTACTGTTTGATTTTAAAAAGTGTTGATAAACATTACACTATCGTTATGTGCATGTAGGTACACGTACCCACACACAAGTAAAGCTCATTCGCCTTCGCGGCTTCGTGAGTTGCAAGAACTATAACACACAGGCGTGATTCTTTTGGTTACAAAGTCCTACAGCTAAAGTACAATCTCCTCTCTCGGGGCTTTCTTCGATAGAATTATTAATTTATATCTGTACAATAAAAGTTAATTTCTCCATACAAGAAACGATGCGTAAGAATGCGCGTTTATTATTGTACGGTATTACATTCTTCTTGTGTGAATTCGACTGGCATTTGAACGATTTGCTTATGTTTATTTCCCAAGCATCTTTTACTTTTCCCTGGATTTTTTGTTCCAGTTTGGAGTGTATGAAGCCTACTTACGGGAAATAAAGACTCTGAGAGCCATTCAACGTATCCTTCAGGAATTCCGGGAGATCGCACGCTATTATCCCCTTTTCAGCCGGCTTCAAACGAGTTGACGGTCACTTGGGCGGTTTTACAATGGGTAGTATACGGAAATACTTATTTTGTTTCAGTTTAATATCGGTAATATCGCGATGAGAAGTAAATGTGGTGTCTTCTCTAATTCAAAAGATTCGTAGATCGTTTAATATAGTTACGATTATTATTATTTTTTTTGCAAAATGGTAGGCCTATTGTTACTGCATTATGATGATGTTGATAATGTTTAGCTACTCGTAGATATTTCTAAAGGTAAACTATTCCTCTTGGTCCAGTACTTTTTCATTTACACAATGTCATACATTTTCAACATAGCCATCTGGTGTATTTTTACCACTAATATAATTCTTAAAAACAACTTGTGTAGTAACACGAAAACTTTGTGTGAAAAGCTGCTGAAAAAAAGTTTATTGAATTTTGTAAGGAATCTTTCATAAAAAATGTGTAAGTATTTTGCTCGCAGCTCTTGTTAGAATAACGATAGTTTTTTTACGTCAAAGAACCCTCCCTGCGGCGACAGCTGTCTTCAAGTTAGTGGTGTGTAAGTAAATGTCGATAGTATAAAATAATATCGACAGTATTGATACAACTGAAGGGTAATGTTAAACAGTGAAACCTTCATTCACCACACCAGACTTCACAGATGTTGCAGCGATAGAGATGAGAATAGGTAGTCCCGTAGATCCAAAGTATCGATACCATTATTATAACACGGCACAGCACTATTTCAGGCGTAGGCAGATATTTGCCAAGAACACTTTCCATTCTTATATTGTAACATTTTGTAACTCAGGAATTTTCTGACGATCAATAAAACTAAAAAATAAATAAGAAACGTTTAATAATATAGTAAAACACTCAATTTAAACGGCTAAAATATACTAAAACATTTAGACTCATTCAAATGTACAAATATGTATGAGCACTTCAAATTCATATTAACGGTCATGACAAACTGAGTTAGGTTTGACATAATATTCAACAAATCAAGTATTGGTCAAAAGATAAAACATTTTAAATTGTCTATAAAACATCGAAAGTAATCAGTTATTTTCATGAATATCACATGATAAAACATCTCTATCAATTTGAGAGTATCTAATGAAGTCATTCCTTTTTTTAAACAATTCAAAACCAACCCATCTATATATATAAAAGAAAGTCGTGTTAGTTACTTCGCTTATAACTCAAGAACGGCTGAACTGATTTAGCTGAAAATTGTCAGGGAGGTAGTTTAGAGCCAGGAGAAGGACATAGGATACTTTTTATCCCGTTCGAAACAAAAAAAAAGTCTGCTTATTTATTGCCATTAAGGCGGAACAAAGTTCGCCGGGTCAGCTAGTTTTGAAATAAAGACGATTGTTGCAGCATCTATGAGATAGGAATTTACAATTAGTGCCAGTTTCACCATTAACATTAAACCCTTTAAATTAATAATATTATCGCCACCGTTTTTAAGAAAATAAAACTTCTATTAAACCGGGTTTAGTAGATAATAATTAAAGTATTTAGACAAGCCAAACTGTGTTTGGTGCTTAAACCGCGTTCAAAGTCAATGGTGAATACGGACCTTTGCTTTTGCGTGTTGTTAAAAAATTTGCAAGCAATTAGGTATATCGATGATGTTAACGAAAGTCTACAAACAATAAGGCTGGGTTGCACTATTTTACTTTAACTTTGACAAACGTCAAAAATCTGTCAAACTCCATACAAAATACAGCGGTTATCGTTATAGTTACGGTCAAAGTTAGGTAGTACAACTCAGCCTAATTTAATGAATGTCAAAGTAAACTCAGTTTTAAACGTGCCGCGTATTGTCCATGTCCATTCGCTGAATCAACTAATAATGCATTACTCTCAATAATACATAACCACTTCAGAAACATAGAAAATCTACTGTGCTTCTTTAATTATTTCTTTATGTTAGCGACACCTTTTGGCTAACTAATATCGTGTCAGTTTACTTATACAATGTTTATTAAAATCTGAGGAAGAGAAACAGGTCCACAATTTGATCTGAAATCATTGTCATGAAGATTTATAATTAATTACTTTTCATTAAGAAACCTCATAAATAATTAATTATTCAAACAATCGTATAGATAATCGAACGTTATTGAAATTTTAAGTTGTGTCTTTACATTAATAATTTACTTATTAAAAAATTATAAGTTATTTCAAACACTCGTTACAAATATTAAACAACTTACATTATTCGTTATATAATAATAATTGACAATCAATTATTTTTTACCCAATTTGAAATTTAAAATAAGAATTATATTAATTATCCATAAACCATACACATAAGGTGGTATCGCTATGATACAAAAAATATTTAATTAATTTTCACCTTCACGATTTTGTTCTATATTAATTTAATTACACGTTGTAATAGAAAAATATTTTTAATTATACTTAAGTACAAGACAATTTTATGTTTATTTTGCCCTACAGTGATTTTGCGACACATCTTTTTATCCTCTTTTATTTTTATCTAAGTGCAGGCTGGATGAAAAAATTTAAGACATGTAGAGGCCATTTATGATAACACTTTATAAATTTTAAATTAGTCTTTTATCTTAATATTTTCGACTAAAAATTTCACTATTTATAAGTAGGTACTAAGTATCAATAGTTTATACAAATAAAGATTACTTTACTGTGACTTTTATTAGCAAGGAACACATTAAATATAAAGATTTTTAAAGAGTTATCATTCATCCTTCTTACTCGTATGTATTAATTTAATTTAAAATTTGTGTAATCTCATACAACAATACCATTGGGCTTGATTTAGGAGAATTAACGTTTTAAGTACATACCTTAATTCAATTTATAAAATTATTAACCTTTATTATTCCCAAAAATATTTTTATATATTATACCTTGGCACTCGTATTTATATCACAGATCCATGACTTACAGCTTTCATTCCTAAACTCTTTCTAAATTATCAGCACCCTTTTTAGACTGGATCACGAAATTTCACTTAAATTCGGTCTCCAATTTTTTACCCGAGGCCTGTGAAAACATTCGTCGAGCCTAAATCGTAAATGATATTAAGTTTGTTCCCTCGGTACTCGGACACCAGTCTAGAGCTACAAGTTGTTGTCACTTCCATCGCCTTTGTCAATCGTACACAAGTAACTCTTTATGCCATCTTGCTTCGACTCCGGTTCAAAAAGCTTACTTATTATAGTATCTTTAAAGAATCCTTTCGGCTGTATCAACGTCTCGAATTTCGTTTCTATCGACAGCTTCCTGCCTTTGCTTTCATTAGCTACAACACTAAGATCAAGTGAGTAACTATGTTTTATAGTTTTATGTGTCTTTATTTCATTACCAGTTTTGTATACATCGTGCGTTTTATCCGTGGAATGTTCTTCGTAAGCCTCATTTCCGTAAACATTATTGACGCCTCCACTATCGGCGTGTTTGTTTTTACCATATTTACTAAATATTAAATGTTCAGTGTCTATTATTGTAACCACAGGCGACCGTTTGTTGAACAGTTTACACGATTCGCCGAATAGTTCAAGTTTTTTCTGGCTGTTGCTGTTACTGTCGTCATCATACGTGGTTTCTCCAGATCTTTCTCCATCAGATGCTGTTCTGTTTTCATTAATTGTGCATAGTTCAACATCTCTAATGGGACGGTTATTTTCGTTGTTGACTTCAGTAATACTATCGCTAAAAATTATCCTTTTGGTATCCTTAATTTTCTTGGGAATGGTCGATATGGTGCTGTCTGAGGAGATGTACCGTGTGGTCTCATTGTTGACGGAGAGCTTGTGGGCTGGGGACATCATGGTGTTGTTGAACCCTTTCTCCGTTTGCGATTGCTTCCCTTTGCTGTGCATCCCGAATATCCGTTTGATTGATTGCCGGAACTGCGGACAAACCACACAAAATTAGGGCTATGAAAATTTTCAAAAGTTGATTATTACGCAGAGAGTAATTAGCATTAAAACATGATTTAGGATCCTAAACCAACATCCTCATAAAGCGCGCCTGTCACAAAATGTTACGGACCCTTATCCCTCGCTGGAGATTAATCTTTCGGAATATGGGTGTATTATTGATGACGTGGAAACATTATAAATACTCATTATGGTTGGGATAAAATGTTATTGACAGACAGAATTATTGGGATTATATCTTAATGGCAGGTTATTCAAATTCTGGAATATGAGTAATTTACAAGCACTCGTAGCTACGACTTTGAAATTACTTCTTAAGCCTCCATTTTACCTATATGTGTCAGTTACAGAACCTGTATTCATAATAAACATCCAAGAAAATGACGGAATAATTACAGAGTACCCCAATTTTACACGCTGATGTTACTTAGGTAGGTAGTGATGTTGTAATTTTTTACTTTAGTTGGTAAATGGTTACATATTTAACATTGCTTCTACAATAGGCAATACAGCTGTAAAATTCGTTTGTCAGGGCTTTTATTGTGCTTTTATACTGTATCGAATTCACATTGTACAAATGTCGAATAAGTAGAGCGTGAAGCATCTGATGTATTCGCGTTTTTTCATTCAAGTTCCGAGAATTTTACCTTTTTTACTGTTTTGAATACTTATCAAAAATATTAATGTGAAACCTAAATAAACGGTGAAATTAAAACTTTTTCACTTAGGAACGTAGGTATTGTACAAAGTACTAGGTATACCAGCGTTTGTAATCCTTTTTAATGAGGGTATGAAAGTTTAAACTCTGCTGATGGAATTCATCATTTGGTGCCAGGTTAATGTGTCTACAGATTAGTTTCAGAACATTTGTTTGGCGTACATTTTAGGGAATGTCCCTGCCATCAATTTGCGGTCTACTAATACCCATTTGCGAGCGCCTAGCATCATCTAAACGGCATTCCGCATCCGACGTGAATTGTTACATAGAACACAAAACTTTGTCAACGCACAATTTGCAGACAATTTTGTTGAATGTTGACATGTTTTGTTGATTGTGTAGGGTAAATACGCGCTGGAGACCCGGCTTTAAAAGTGAGGGTATGTAGGTACATGAAATGACAAAGATTTACTCAAATAGAAATTAAACTCTCTGTTTCCATAACATTGCTACTAAAGATAACGTAGGTTAACGTAAATCTTATGCGATTAGCCCAGTCTTTCATTTTTATTCAATAAATAGTCAAGTCAGCAGGTAACAGTAGGTCAGTTTCTTTCAGCGTAGACTAAAGTACTGTTTTCAACACACTTTTTGCCTCAATAAATAGGTATTACGATGTAGGTACTTTATTATTATTTTCTGTACTGTTTTGTTGTTACAAACATGCTTGTGACTGAAAACTAAGATTTACCTACATCAGAATGTGATTGTACAGACGACAGCAGCACACCAAGCTTAAAGTTTGTAGTACCTTATAAACTTTTAAGAAGTGCCATTTTATAACAAAAATGTAAAGTATGATGTGCTGTCAACTGTACAAAACAGTAATATATTTTATCTAATTAAATGGTACTTACTTGTGTATTCATGCCGACGTATATTAGGGGGTCGTAGCAGATAGAGCTCTTGGCGACTAGAGCGGGTATCACGCCAGCTCCCGGCGAGATCTGCAATGGAAATTGATATTTAATCATCGTAAACTTAAGGTCGAAACTTGAATAACATAATTGGGTATTTTAATTAGAATTTTTTTGTTAAAATATTAAAAAAAATAATGTGAGACTGAGGATTTCGAAATGAGAAACTTTTTGCTCCTTCTACTATTTCAAAGAGGTTTTTCTTTGTAAATATAAAGAAAACATTAAGCAATTATGTTTTCAAGATAATTACATAATAATGATCCCAGTGAATGGCCATTACTCGTTAAAAAAATTACTAAGATCCTGGCCATGAGTTGTCGACGCCAACAAAAAATTGGATTGCACTTGGCTACTTGTCAAATAGGTCAAGGCAAAAACATTTCATGGTAACTAAACTCAACTTTGAGTTACTGCTTAGATACACAAAGAACTTAATTGCAGTGTTTGTTTAAGTTAAAGTTAAGTCTAGTAATATAAGTTTTAATTTACTAAGAAATGATTTTCTATATATTTTAATAATAATGCCTCTTCATTAAAATTATTATTCAACAATAAATCCTATCCTATCCTACTAATATTATATCCTACTAATATTATAAATGCGAAAGTTTGGATGTCTGTATGTCAGGATGTCTGGATGTTTGTTACTCTTTCACGCAAAAACTACTGAACAGATTTTGTTGAAACTTTGCTGTATTATTTCTTATAACCCAGAATAACATAACATTATAGGCAAAAAAAAAATATGACGATTTGTGACAAACTAAATTTCACGCAGGTGAAACCGCGGGCAAAAGCTAGTTGTTAAATAAATTGTTGTCATCTGCGAATTCTATGGAATAACAAATCTATGGTTTATTCTCACTCAGTTACATATCAGTTAAGACACGGAGAAGAGCAAAGATCGTACCAGCACTTAAGTAAGGGCATATTAACGGTATGTGTGCGCAAAGCAAACATTATTCAAAGCAGTTAATCTGTACCTATTTTACATATAGAAGGTGCTTATGAAGAACATAATTATAATGTATGATTTGCTTCTATACTAGCTTTTTCCCGCTGTTTCGCCTGCGTAATTTTTACAGTATAATATCTATACTAGTATAGAACCCCAACTAAATCTTAGGGGTTGATTTTTACAAAATAACAATTTACATAATTATGTACTTTGATTTATTCGTCGTATTACCTACATAGGTATTTAGGATTATTTATTTTAACTAACTCAAGACCATTGATCGTAAGACTAATGTTAGGTACAATAAAAGGGCCTATCTTTAATGGGACTAGAAAAGTAGCGATCAAAAATTGCTTTCGTTAATATTCTGCAACAGTTGTTATCCCAAACTTTCCTAAATGTTACATTTACTATAAAATACAGCTGATGCGAGTGTTTCAAGTTATTGCGCCATAAAACGTTAATGGGAACTATGGACTCCATAGTATGGAGTCGTCAGCTCGACAGAGAATCAGTTTTGTTTGTAATTAAATAATGGAGATTTATGATAAACAGGCTTTTGGTTCACAATCTTGAAGTATTTACAATGCTAATAAAATTTGCATTTTGTTAATCAATATTTTAATTAACGAATGAAGTCACAGTCACCTTTGTCTAATCAGACTTAACACTTTGACCTTGGGACAGCCCTTATTCTACACCAGTGGTTTTCAACCTTTTTCATGACAGAACCCCTAGTATGAAAAAAAATTGAGACCCGCCGACCATGCATTTTTTATTGTTACGAAGATGTTTTTAGGGACCAAAACTACAATCCATACAACACTTATGCATTTGCTTAATTAGATTTCTGATAAATCTATCTTTATAACTTTAATGATTTTTTTTACGGAGGTAGTTTTACGACCTCTCGCGACCCTTATAGAGGCTTCGAACTTCGAACCCACAGGTTGAAAAACACTGTTCTACACGATCCAAAATAAGAGCTATTTTTGCAGTACAACTTACAAGCATTAATCCATTCTCTTTAAGTTATTGAAGATCTTTGAAAGTATGGACAAGAAAGTTCGATAAGTATTCCAAAATAAACAATAAACAAGTAAGCATTTTTAAAGTAAAATTGCGAAACTTTGCTTATTATATTGTTATCAAGTCATATATTTGTTAACTTTTTAAAATGACTATGTAAAGTATTTCTTATGTAGGTACTAGTATTTCAGGAATAAGGTCCTGGTAAAAGCAAGGTCATATAATGTAATATATTTAAGGATTGTTTTGTGCATTTTTATTCTAATCTATGCCACAGAATAATAATAAGTACTACGTACAGAAGTTTTACTTCGCGAAGGTATTTAAAAAAATGTATGCTCAATGTCATTAACAATATGGTGTAATTTAGCCTGTCTCAAGAGCCAAGCACCATTTTGTTGACAAACGTCAGTGATCGGCACTGCGCCGAAGCTATAGGGCTGACTTCGGTAAAATGATGTGACGTGAGGTGCCAAACTGCGGAAAATGGCGGAGGAAATACATGATTTAGCATGAATTATCATGAATAATATTAACTACTTATTAACCTCTCAGTGTCTTGAGGCAACTTAAAAAAGTACATTCTGTGTTTTTATTATTATTTAGGTAAGTAGTTAAATACTGCACAGTATTTATTACACCATTTTCTTTATTTTCTTCCATCATACACAAGAATACGCGTGCGTGAGTCAATGTTCGCTCGTATGTGAGGCCTTGTCGAATAGTATCCTGTAGGTGGGCAATCGTGCGTGTTTTGTTTTCGATGTAAACTCGCGGAGATGAACAGGCCTGTCTATACTAATATTATAAATGTACAGATTCACAGCATGTATTCTGTGACAGACAAAATTCCACGCGGGCGAAGACGCGGGCGGAAAGCTAGTTTTTAGATATTCTACGAATTCTTAAATTTAAGATATATTTTGAAAATAATAATATTATAAGAAGTGTATCAATTTTCACTCACGATGCCCTCCGTTGCGAATTGCTCTATTAGAGCGAACAGGGAGTAGGGTGTCCAGGCTACAGTGAAGGCGATTATCATGATGAAGACCATGGCAGTCGCTTTTGTCTCCGCCCGGCTGACCCGTCCGAGCCTCTGAGAGTTCTGGAACAAGAAATATACGTGAATATGGTTCACATAACAAACATTTACTTATTCTGGATGCGATTTTGTGAAAAATATTATAGGCAGGCAGTTGCTAATTGCTCTTAATTGATATTTATTGTCCGTGGTGCATAATCTTTTCTTAAAGGTTTTAAGCCTTTGTTTGTCACCTGTCATCCGCTTTGCAATGGAGGGAAGTTGAACCTTAATTTCGAACTCCTATGTTCTTCTGATTAATTTCGTTGCGGGTCCAATGACAGTTTAACTTTCCCCCAGGACAAACTTGACCTTCATTGGTTGGGTTTTTAAGGCGGTCAAGCTATAGATCCTGGCTACACAGGAGTTGCAGTGGTGGGAACGAGAGGTGGGAATAGTCCTATTATTCTGGATGGTTGATGTTAGTGATCTAAAGAAATTAACAAAGAACTAGGTACACCCTTGTCTTATGAGATAGACGCAAAAAATTGAAGAAATAATTATTTTTTCTGAAACTTCGCGAGGCTTGCCCGCATCTCACAGTAGTTAGGTAAATTTTATTTACTCCTACTTACGTATCCGTCAAGTTGCATAATAATATGAGTGACCATGAAACAATAAGGCTGGGTTGAACCATTTTTAATAAACTTCGAGAGTGGAAACACAATAGCCATAGAGGAGAAGAAGAAAAAGAAATAAAGAAAGAAAAATATTTATTTGGTACTAAAAGAACTTCAAGAGTTTGTTAAACTCCATACAAAAATCACCGGTTATGGTTATAGTCACGGTTTAAATAAGGTGGTGCAACTCAGCCTAATATTTCTAATCTATTTGGTACAAAGTCAAATTATTTGGCAAGTGCTGAGAAGAAGCGCCGCAACAAACTCAGTCACTCAGTACTAGAGAATACAATCCCGAGCATGTTTTTCAATCCCGGGATTACGGGATTTTTGATGGGTAATCCCGGGATCCCGGGACTATCCCGGGATCAGCCTTATGTGGGAATTGGGTTCTAATAAAAAAAACTTAAGTATAATTTCTCAAAAGATGTTTTAAATATTGTTAGTTGCAATAATACTAAAATAAAATAAAAAAATATACAAATCAAAAGCACTATTTAGAATTTCGGAAATAGATGTCACTCGATTATTTCTAAACTATACAAGATATCCAAAAACTGGTTACTGATCCTGAAAGTCCTTCACGAGCTCTATCCAACGGTACCAATTATAGGTTACAAAATAAACTGGATCTATCCTAAAATTCAATGTTTCCAGCTTCCATACATTTAGTTAAACCATATAATATTAAAAACTGAACAAGATATCCAAAAACTGGTTACTGATCCTGAAAGTCCTTCACGAGCTCTATCCAACGGTACCAATAACAAGTTACATAATAAACTGGATCTATCCGAAAATTCAAGTTTCCAGCTTCCATACTTTTAGTACTGTCACAGTCATGGCACTCATGGCTTCATAATATTATAGCAAGTAAAGCCTAAAATCAACGTTTTCCTTGAATAATCTATCTATCTATCTTCTTTATAAATAAAAATGAATTGATGTTCGTTAGTCTGATTAAAACTCGAGAACGGCTGGGCCGATTGAGCTGATTTTGGTTTTAAAATGTTTGTCGTAGTTCAGGGTAGGTCTAAACGGTGAGCAAATACGCGCGCGATATTGTTTTTCTGTGACAGACAAAATTCCACGCGGGCGAAGACGCGGGCGAAGCCGCGGGCGGAAAGCTAGTTTTAAATAATAATGCAATTTACGAGATCATTTTAAGTGTTTATTATTTAATTAAAAAAATTAATACTTCTAATATTGTGTGGCTGGCATACATTTAGTATGGAGGCTGAAAACATTGAATTTTCGGATAGATCCAGTTAATTCTGTAACCTATTACTGATATCGTTTGAAAAAGCTCGTGAAGCACTTTTAGGATCAGTAACCAGTTTTTCGATATCTTGTACAGTTTAGAAATAATCGAGTGAGATCACTTATCGTTTCCACCCTGTATAATTTTATGCTAAGGTAGAATCTAGGCAATGTCATAGTCAAGGCGCAACGGATCGTAGAATGCAAAATAGTCCTGTTTATATCAATCCCGAAAATACCGGGATTAGCCAAGTACAGTCCCGGGATTTTCGGGATCAGAAAAGGGTCGGGATCCCGGGATCCCGGGAATCGGGATCCCGGGATTGTATTCTCTACTCAGTACTCGTTGTAATCAACCCATATCGTTTCCATTTTGTAATTGTTCCCAGAACAGTAACCTGATTATCCGAAAAGTCATTTGGTTTTTAGAGAGTGCCGTTGGTTAAAGTAAGAAATGTCAGACACCAATGGCATCTAAGACATCTGATACGAGTGTGGTTGACCTCAGGAGTTCAGTGCTATACAGGGTGACTTTGTTATCAGTATCTAAATTTTTAGGATCGACTCAGAATCAGTAACTTACCTAATCGATTTACGTAAAGAAAACTTTTTTTTTCATATAGAATTATTTTTATCCGCTGCGCGCGGTTTCAAAACTAGCACACGTGGCTAATTTACTTCGTTCATAGAAAAATACGTAGGTACACACAGTTAATTACCAAGCTTAGACATAATGGTACATGAAAATAAGCGTTAACCTTTAACCCTTAACTGGTATCGTAAATTGGACATACGTAACTGGTATCGTGGGGGCCGCGCGGCCCCCATACTATGTTTGCTTCTAGCAAGCATTTTTTACCTATATACTTGAATAAATGCTCATAAATGATATATATCAGGCTTGTTCTATGTAATCATTTAGTTTTTATTGTATTCAATCTTCTTACTTATATACTTCAAGACATTACATAATAGTAACAACTTTTTACCTAATATTTTTTTAACGTTACAAATATCTATGAAACCTACCGTTTAGAAAGTTATAACCAAAAATATTATTATTTTAATTAATGCATAATAATGTGAACTTAATAATAAATAACGTTTTAATGTAATATTAAATAAAAATAATAAGTATTTTATAAAAATAAAAACATAAATATTATGTTGACAAACATTAGCAGGTGCTGGTGGATTTTCAGACCACTTGTATTTATTTTTTCATAGTAGCCGGATTGACTAGGTCCTACAACATCTTCATTTTCACACTCTGAAGAAAAAACTTGAAAATCAGAATCAATATCCTCATTATCGACCGAATATTGGTTATTGGGTCTTCACAATGACCTATAATTTTATTATCACTATATCCTTCTTCTGACATGCCACTAATCACTAATTTGGAATCAAAAACTTCGTTCTAGGTATATTCCATTGTTTTATCACTTATAAACCACCAATACTGCAAAAAAATAAAAAACAAATAAAAATTGCCATGAAAAAAAACTAACGTAACTGGTATTGTGGGGGCCGCGCGGACCCCAACACGTACATATCTTCGTCCTCGTGAATTATGCAGTGCTGAAACGCCTGCATTAGACGCGAGTAGCGCCGAAATGAGAATACAAAAAATTTTGGCTGCCCACGATGCGTAGTTTCTTAGAAATCAAAGAAAACGTCATGCGTGGGGGCCGCGCGGCCCCCACGATACCAGTTAAGGGTTAATAAAAATTAAGATATAAGCACCCGCGAATTAGACTTTCAATATTTTTTTCAGATTAAAAATAATTAAGATAAAGTTGTATTGTTAAATTGTTCTATAGAGCTTTTTTTTAAATTGAATACTGATTACAAAAGCATCTTGTATAACCGACAGAAGATCTGACTTGAATTTCGTGGAACTTTCGCTGGCACGATTCCGTGAAAAACTAAAGATCAAAACATTCGGTTACAGAAAGAGTGTAGTAGAGCCTACGGGTAGACGAGTAATGTAGTAAATTAAAAGAAAATTCAAAAAGGCTTTACATGTAACTAATTAGACTCCTTTAATGAAAAATTCACAATATAAAGCAAATGTACAAGAGTTATATTGAAAAGAAAAATGAAAATGAAATATCTTTATTGCTACTTATAACTAAGGGCCCTCGCCCACGGCGACTTTTTACCCGACTACAGCAAAGCAATAGGAGGGTTATGATTTTTACCCGACTACGGCAAAGCAAAAGGAGGGTTATGATTTTTTACCCGACTACGGCAAAGCAAAAGGAGGGTTATGATTTTGACAGGGTATGTATGTATGTATGTATGTATGTATGTTCATGTGTACCCTCGTAACTTCTAAACTACTTATCAGAATTCGACAAATGACATATCATTAGAAGCGCCTTAATTGTCCGCTGGTTATAGGCTACATGGGGTTTCACAAAATCTAATGTGGCGCCTTCTAGCGGACAAAACATAGAGAGTAAAAAAATTAAGTTAAGATAAATATGCCGTGTTTGGTATCATTTGAAAGTGCTTTACTTGTACATTTTGAATATATATATATATATATATATATATATATATATATAGGTGACCTGGAGATACAGCCGGATTATACAGGGTGGTTATACATATGGAACGATAAGTGATCTCACTCGATTATTTGTAAACTATACAAGATATCGAAAAACTAGTTACTGATTCTGAAAGTGCTTCACGAGCTCTTTCAAATGGTACCAATAATAGGTTACAGATAATGGAAGCTGGTAACATTGAATTTTTGGATTTTGTAACTTCTCGTTTCCACCCTGTATAATCCAGCTGTATCTCCAGGTCACACCTAGATACATTCCATAGCAGCTGTAATAGACATTTAGGTACATACATTTACCAATTTTGGTGATAAATAGGCATTTTGTATTAGTTTTTGTATAACGCCTGAACAAAAACAAAGGGTAATATTTTGGTGTTATACATAGATTTCGAATATAAAAAATATATAATTTAACTAATTAAGACAAGACAAAAAAAATGAGGTATGTCTCGTTTCTGTCGGGCCTGGGTCACAGATGACCGTTCTTCTTTATTGCTTTAAGATATGGACAAACTGGCCCGGCGCACTTCATACCCCAAAAACATACCTATGTCTATCAGAGGTGG